CCATACCAACTGCTTCCTAGTGAGGCATTAGTCACCTGAGAATCATTTCCACACCCATATACCGGGTGTAATAGGAACGAGTATGAGCAGAACATGATTTTAAAAATGATCCATTCTGACCCTCATAGAATGAAAGACCGTTTGAAGGAATTAATTTATGACAGCCTGGGGGGAAAGAGAAGAGGGAAGAGTGGGAGAGAGGAGTTTCTCTCTTAAAAGGGATTAGAGCTGGAAAATGCAGAGCAAGTGGAGACACAGGAGGTGCTGAGCCCATAAGTGCATACACTTTTCCATGCCATGGTGTTTGGTTCTCTCCCCTCTCCCAGAGGGCTTGGCCAACTCCTTTTTCATCTTAGCAAAAGAGCAAACACTGTGCTGGGCCCTGAGGATTTAAACATAACTAAGATTCCATTTTGAACCTCTGAATCTTGGGGTATCCAGTCTACCAATTATGGGAGCAGGCAGGATGGGACCCCGAGATAAGACTTGTTAAATAGTCTCAGAGCAGCAGGGTTAGGGTTGTAGACAATGTGTGTACAGAGCCATTGGTGCTGAGGGCAGGCTATGGATGACCCTGGTGTGTCTCACAGAGAGATGACATTTGCTATAGTCTTCAGGAAAAGGGCAAATTTGGTGAAGGTCAGTGGTCACAGGGGTTGTGGGAAGGGGAAGACTGGAATTTTAGAAAGATAGAAGTATCTGTGTGTGTGTGGGGGGGGGCTGTTCATGAAAGAACAAGGTATGTTTGGAGGGTGGCTGCTGTTTCTCAATATTAGAAAATTCTAGATTCTGTTACTTACTGTATTTATTTTATGTCTTTCACCTATGGCCTGGATCCCAAGGACAGTTAGTCTCCTATCCCCATCTAGAAGTCATTGAATATAAGCTGATTTAAACTCAAAATTAGCCTACTCATGGGGGTCACTAAAGAAGAGATCATCAAAAGCACCAATAGTACAGTTTGATGAGTACTAACCCCATTATAACATGGTCATGTTTAATTCTCATAATATCTCCATGGACTAGATACTATTATTTTTCCTGTTAAATATCTTTTTAGTTGTAGATGGACACAATACCTTTATTTTATTTGTATGTGGTGTCGGGGATCCAACCCAGTGCCTCACGCATGCTAGGCAAGCGCTCTACCACTAAGCCACAACCATGGTCTCTTATTTTTCCTTTTTAAAAGTGAGAATATGGAGGCACAGAAAGGCTGGGGATCTTGTCCAAAGTAAGACTAGTTAGCTGTGGAACCTGGTTCTAACCCAGGCAATGTGACTTAACAGTCACCACTCTTAGCCAATGAGCTATCCTCCCTCAAGACGAATGCACAGTTGTGACCAGGAGAAAAATGAATACTTCAAGTATCCCACTCTCCAGAAGCTTTCTCTCACTCAGAGAAAACAGCATAATGGTGAGGATGTCTCATACCAAGTAAGCTTGTGACACAGAAATGTACCACCTAGATCTGCCTGCAAAGAAGAACTGATGCCTATCTTGGGGTGAGGGACCTCTTCTGTCCAAGGTTAAGCCCCTTCCCAGGATGGACCACATATAGCGACTGATTCGGGGGGGGGGGTGGTATCTAAAGATCCAGTTATACAGGCCCAATATTCTGATGGGCCATGTGAGCTCCAGAGCTGCCGCTGGGGTTGGGGAGGCGGTTGGGTGCACACTGCAGCTCAACTTCTCCTTCTGTCCCATCCTGCTTCCTGCCCCTCCTGCCACAGCTGCTAACCCCATGGGTATTCCTTAATGAACATCCTGCCACTCTGTCTCAAAGCCTGCTTCCCTGGGGACTTAATCTATGACATCAATTCCAGTGAAGAGAAGTCTGTGCCCTCTCTGATTCCTTTGTAACTTCCTTTCACATTGGTTTCCTTTGATTTTTCAACTTCTAGAAAAATATCTAAGAACAAAAGTTGGCAAAATTCTCCAAGGTAGGTCATATAGTCACCATCCCCTTTTTGTTAATCTACTTTAGTTTTTAGAGTAGTTTTAGATTCCCATGAAAATTGAGCAAAAGTTACAGAGAGTTGGCCTGTAAGCTATTCCAAGACCTGCACTCCCACCCTTGAGCTCATTTTTTTCCAATCTTAGCACCTATCTCCCTTGGTTCGGGCTATTGATATATATTGTAGAAGTAAGACTTCTTTACAATCAAAACTTTTACCAGAATTATTTCTATTATTTTGTAATTTTTATTTTTAACATTTGATTATTTGGTAGACTTGATTTTAATAGGCTCTTGCCTTGTAGCCTGGGCACGATTCTTAAGCTTTCAGAGTCAGTATCCCACCTCCAAAATTGAAATAATAACCTTTGGGAGGGTTTAATTACATATCCTAATCCTAACTCAAGGTAAAGTGCCTGTTTTTTTTTTTGGAGGGGGGTTGCCAAGGATTGAACTCAGGGGCACTGACCACTGAGCCACATCCCCAGCCCTATTGTTGTATTTTATTTAGAGACAGCGTCTTACTCAATTGCTTAGTGCCTCACTTTTGCTGAGGCTGGCTTTGAACTCATGACCCTCCTGCCTCAGTCTCCTGAGTCTCTGGGATTACAGGCATGTGCCATTACTCCAGGTTGCTGTTGCTGCTGCTTCTGCTTCTTCTTCTTCTTCCTTTTCTTTCCTCCTCCTCCTGCTGCTGGGGATTGAACCCAGGGCCTCACTGATGCCAGGCAAGTGCTCTCCCACTGAGTTATACCCCACCCACTTTTTGATTTTTACTTTGAGACAGGGTCTTGCTAAGTTGCACAGGCTGGCCTCCTGGTCAGGCTCCTGAGTAGCTGGGATATCAGATATGCACCACAAAGTCTAGTTGCTGGGTGCAGTTTCGCCAGGCATGGTGGCCCATGCCTGTAATCCCAGTGGCTCAGGAGGCTGAGGAAGGAGGATCATGAATTCAGTCAGCCTCGGCACCTCAGCCAGGCCCTAAGCAATTCAGTGAGACCCTGTCTCTAAATAAAACATAAAAATGGGCTGGGGCTGTGGGGCAGTTTTGTATTAAGCTGGCACAGTAAAGGATTCAGTGAATGCAAATTTCTTATGGCTTCAATATCCCAATGCCAAAACTGGGTTGATCAAAAACCATAGAAATTTATTTTCACATTATTTGGCCAGACAACTAAACACAGTTGCTGCACATGTTTAAAGTCAAGGCTCTAGAGGGGACCCCTGTCTTGACTGTTCCAGCTTCTGGTGGCTGCTTGCTTTCTTGCCTGGTGGCCACAGCATTACAATCTCTGCTTCCATAGTCACATTACTTTCTCTTCGTCTCTGTGTTAGATTTCCAGCTTTCCCCTTGTAAGAGTTTTTGTGGTTGCAGTTAGAGCCCACCCTGATAACCCAGAATAATTTCCCTAACTCAAGACCCTTAATTCAATCACATGGGCCTAGACCCTATTTTTATTACCAGGTTAACATTTATAGGTTCCAGAGATTGGAATCTGGTATCTTGGGGAAGGGAGCATTTTTCAGACAACTACATAAGGTAGTTGACAGTTTCTGCCCATTTTGTGTGTGTGTGTGTGTGTGTGTGTGTGTGTGTGTGGTGGGGTGCTGGGGATTAAACCCAGGGCCTTGTTACATCCTCAGCATCTGTACTATCTTTTAAAGGCATAGTTCTAAGCAGTTCACTTTGGGATCAGTAAAGTAGTCCTTTGCCCCTTCCGGCTTGTCATTAAAAGCCATCTGCCCTATTTTAAGGATTTTTCTTTACTCTCTCTCCCTGAAGGGATAGTGGTTCCAAAGGGAGTCGGGTACCTGTTCTATAAAGTCCCAGCAGTAGATGGAGTCCTGTTTGGAGCATCTTTCCAAGGTTTTAATTGTGGACAAATTTTAGCACAGTTCCCCAAATTTACATTTTCCTGATTCAGTAGATTGGGCGATGTCTAGGAATACATTTTTTCCCCCAAAGTGTCTCAGGATTCTTTTCATCAGCCAAGATTTGGAAATACTGATTCCTTCTACAAATCTCTGAACTGAAACCTTCGAAATAGGGTATTCCCCTTCCTGCTTGCTGGGTGTGTCACGGTTACATGACTGAATTTTTATTGGAAGGGTGGGGTAAACAACCAAAAAAGAGCATCCCTGAAAAGTGAACAATCCTCTCTGTACAGTATTCACTGAAAGTGTTCCCTAGAGGGAAGATTTACAATTCCTAATGAAATAGAAAATGACGACGGCCGGGATTTGGCAGTTCTGTAGCTGTCATTAGCTCGGGATCTCTGGCGGATGACGGATCGAGCCCGGCCGCACCCTCGGCTTCAGCCAACGCTTTCCAGAGTGAAAGCAGCTTCCGCGAGGGGGGCGAGGTCCCTCCAGACCTAGTGCGGGTGTCCAGAGAGAAGTACTTTCCCAGTGGGATGGGCTGGGAGTGGCTTTCAGCGTCCCCGCCCCGCCCCCTGTAAGAGGCAGCTATTGCAGAGTGGCGTGGGCAGGGGGCGTGGGGAGATGTAGGTATATTTATTCTGGCCTGAGAGCTGGACGCTGGGAGTGCTACAAGCTACCAGAGGAACTATCATTGTCCCAGCAGTCTGATTCTTCAGAGGACTAAGAACCTCGCACCCCTGGTTGGCCAGGTGGGGGCAGCCGTGTTACGGTGACTTTATGCACAGAAAATTTTGTGGGAGTTTGAAAGTTCCTTTGGGAATGCTGGGACGCTGAGTAAGTCTCAGCAGGGATCGCTGAAAAAGTGGTGTCCAGCTCAGCCATAGGGTATAAGGGTCATGTTCGACCACGGCGTATGGGGGCGCAGCGTCTTCAGATTCAGCCGGAGGTGATTGGGGGCTCAGTTGGGCGTGATGGGAGACACAGGTACAGGTTCCGCCGGAGGCGACAGCGGAGCAGTACGAAGCTCAGCTGGGGTGAAGTGGGGCGTCGGTTCAGGTTTGACCAGGCCAGGTGCGCGCTACCAGCACAGGTAGGAGCCTGAAAGGCACAGCACGGGACGCTGTAGGGGGCTCTCGTCCGGTCCGCGGCGCGCCAGGGCGTTGTTCCGGCTCGCGGCAGCGAGTGGCGCTGAGCCGGGAGAGTCTACAGCTCCCGGCCCTCGGTGGCGGCGGGAGGAGTTCTGCGAGGCTACCGCCCCCTCCCGCCCAGGCTCCTCCTCTCTCTCCGCCTCTCTCGTTCTGGCTCTCCAGTCCGCCCGCCCGCCCAATCCGCAGCCCTCCACCCACCAGAGCCGGGCCGCTTGTCTGGCCGGCGGAGGCTGAGCGCGACCCTAGTGAGCCGTGGCGCCCGCCGACCAGGGACAAGCGCGACTCCTGGGACGCGCTCTGCTTCGCGCCACCGTCTCTTCCCCTATTGTTTCGGGGACACTCGGGTCGGCGCCGTCCGGGTCGCGATTCTCCTCCTCTTCCTCCCGGAGGGGAGGGAAAGGAGAGAGCCTAGCGTTTGCTCCGGGAGAGCGCAAGCCGAGGCCCCTGCCGCCGGGGCTCGGGGCTGGAGGAGGTGGAGGCGGAGGCCGAGGCAGAGGGAAGTGCGCGTCACTCCCGGGAGGAGAGTGTTTCACCTTCAAGCGGAGGCTGTGGTTACAGCTGCGTAAAAGCAGCAGCACAGCGGCGGGCACTGGGGCTGGAGGGGCTCCTTGGCCATGGAGAGGAGATCCGGACCGGGCGACGCCAGGAGCTCCGCTCAGTCTCTGTGGATCATTGCGTAGGCACCTGAGTTAACCGACGCTAGGCGGGGGAGGGGAAGGTAAGGAGCGTTGGTTTCGCCGGCCCCCTGCCCCGCCTCCTTTGCTGTCCTAGGAGTCCATTGCGAGGGCGCAGACCCGGGTCTTGCGCACCTTCCCGGTCCCTGGAGGCCTGGCCCGCTTTAGCGTTGGGCATTTCTGCCGAAATGAAAAATATTCTCCTGCTCCCCGCAGCACCCTCCTTCCCTCTCCCGCGCTCCTCCTTTCCCCGGTCTCTTTGGATTAGAAGTAACCAGACTCCTCTAGAGTCAGTTCTTTCAGTAAGAAAGGGTCCTTGGGAACCGTGTCTTGATTTCTTTCTTTCCCTGTATTTTCTCATTACGTTTACGGGGACCGGAACAATGGATCTTTGAAAGTCTGTGTGAACAGCCTTAAACTTTCTGTAGAGGGCTGGGATTAAACCCCACAGGAAGCCGACTACAGTGAAAGGTTGATGGAATGTGCATTGTAGAGTTTTACCTTCCGTGCGCGAACGCTTGTGTGTTTGCGGGGGCGGGGGGGGGGGAATCTTTGTCTCCTTACTGTACCCCTGGGTTGGTGGGTCCTCCATCCCCCACTTCACTTTGTGTTACTTAGGGTAAGATGAGGCTTTTAAGTAGCATGAAACTTTAAAGCTGGGGAATAGTTTTAGTACTGGACTCCACTCTGAGCTTTTCTCTGCAGAGTTGGGAGATCCTGGCAAAGGAGGAGCTCTCTCCTTGAGGACCCGAGGTGCTGCAGTCACTGCACTTTTCAGCAATAAATCCAAGGTCCTGACTTCCCTGGATGCTCTCTGCTGAGGGTTGATGTGTGTCACCAGACCTCTCCCTGGAGCGGAAACAACTCACTTAAATTCTCCACATAAGGTTAGGAAAACAGACTTTGATATATGTCTCCTTTCATCAGCAGTTGAGGATAAAGACGGAGTGCCCAATAATTTAAGAACTTTAATTCTGCTCATGAGCCTCTCACTACCTTAACTTCATTCCCTTTATGCCAGTGTGACAACAAAATGCCATCCTGTCCATTTGCATGTGTTGAGGGTATGCAGATGTGAGCTCCTTCCAGGGAAAAGTGAGAAAAATTGATAAAAAGGGGGAGAGGCTTCTTCTGAGCTGAGGGAAGCCTGAATTCCCAGGAAATGACTGCTAAAATCAAATACATATAAAATAGCTTTTTAGTTCCTTGGTTGGGTAGAACAGAGTTCTTGGTTTGACAGTTGAAGAAAGCTTGCTCTTTTTGTAGTTGGGCATCATGCTCTGGTTGGATGCCTCATTACCTATTCAAAGGGTTCTTCTGAGTTTGTGTTTATGATCAAAGCAGAAGAAGGTGCATAAGTATGTCCTCTACTTCGTAAACATTGGGTGGCACTTTTTGGTGCTTTATCCTATTGCTGACATGACTCCCCTCAGCTTTCTGTGTGTCTGCACTAGAGGAACTGGACAGTTTGGAACTTGGAATCTGTTTTCTGGCTTTCCGTTCAGTCTACCTTGTGCTATATTTTTCTGATCTATGTGTTCTTACATGATCAGAAAACTAAGGTTAGGATTGAACCCTGAGTCTTCCGCTGTTCGATTTTATTAGCCTGTGGATAAGAGAGTAAGGTGAGGACTGGGTGTGTGTATGTATGTCTGTGCATGCATGTCTGTGCATGCACATGTGCATGTGTATATACAGGAAGTAGCATCTGTAAATTCTTACATGTTGCTTGTGTAAAGTTTCTGTGTTGTGGTTAATTGAGTAAAGTCTCCTTCCTTGATCTAGCTTAACTGGTGAATTTCAGAAGTGTCAAAGTCCCAGTCACAACAGGAAACCTGACGGGTGCAACCATTTACTAGTCACATTCTGGTAGAATAATCAAGTCTGCCCTCAAACAGCTACTAGAAAATGAGAAGACAAGTGGGGGTAAAATAATCTTGTGGGCCATTTTTGAAGTTGAAAGGGTACTCCTTTCTAGCTATGTGCCTCTGTGTAAGTTTTTGAAATTTAGAAAGATGAATCATGTTTCAGAATGAGAAAACTTTATCATTGCTTTCAAATTTACAGCTTGAGACTCATATTTGAAATGCTGCATGTAAATATCTCCATTATAAAGTGTTCTAAAACATTTGGATCTCACATCCTCTATCTACCCAGCCACTGTCCATTCATTTAACTAACAATTATTAATTACCTATTGTAATTAGGCCATGAATTACAATAGACTTCTCTGGAAGGAGTCTCAGCACCTGCTTCTTGGAGCAAAGTGGAGCAACAGAGGGACACCGGTGGAGTGGCAGCTGTTGTGGAGACCACATGGTACCAAGTTATCCCATGTGGTGGTCTCCAGCTACCAAGATGAATAAGACATATCCTCCTGAGTTGCTGGGATTACAGGCGGGCACCACCACACCCAGTTCATTATGCACATTTTTTAAGAAGCCAGAGAAGGAACTGATTGGGAAAGGGGTTGTGTTGCAGTTTTTTGAAAAATAAAATTTATTAAATCAGAAAAAAATAAATGGGACTGAAAACTGGTATCAGGGTGCCATTTTAGGCACCTTGAAAGGGTTATACAGTTGCTAACCAACTATCTGCTACTGGGAAAATCCTCTGATTTTCTTCATCTGTAAAGTGAGTTTTCAAATGCTTTATGGAATGTTCTGAGGATTAAATTGGATTAAGTTTGCTATGTATATGATAAAATACTACATAAGCTAGTGCTATGTGTTATCCAAAGGGACTTTAAATATGTGTGTGTTTTAAAAGCTATCATTAGTTATAAAACATAGCTTGAACTTGTATTAATCAGAGATTTCTGATTTATTGGCTTCTTCCAGACAGTTTTGAACCCCCTCTGGGGAGCAAGTCTTTGTTTTAGGTTCTAGCTATTGTTAAATGGTATTCCTCACCTAGACAGGCTTCTCATCCCAGACACAGGAAATTCTCTGGCTTCATTTGGGTTGTGAGCATTAATTAGAAGGATGAGCTTTCTGGTACAGTGCAACCATGGAGAAAGGTTTGTCCTGTAACATACACATATCACCCTGCCTCCCAAGCTAAGCTGGCCTTTACTTCCCTCTATCCTACAAGATGAATATGGGAAAGAAAAGAGGAAAAGAAAAGAAAGCAAGAAAAGCTCTGTATTTTTGAGACCATGAAAATCACCTGACTAGTTTTCTCCATTTGAAAACAGTTATAATTTCCAACTAGACTGTTAGAGGCTCTTCTCTCAATAGCAGCAGCTGCTGTCTAGGTGAAATTTGAATCTGTAAGCAATACTTGCTTTAGTTCTCTACTTGAAATAGAATTAAGCTCATCTGACATTTTAATAAATTGCCTTTGATAGAAATCCAAACTCAGATATTTAAAGCTATTGAATTAAATGTGACTTTTTTGAAGAAAGGAGATGATATGAATGTAAATTGGTTTTTTGGACAGTGCTACATATGCTGAATCCTAGTATAGAGTTCCGGGGGATCTTAAAAATAATATTAAAACAAGGAAGTTGAGACCCAGAGAGGCTTACTAATTAGGTAAGGTCATATAGTAATTTAATGACTAAGCAGGGACAAGACCTCCTTTGTCTCTTATTTCCAGACAACACCCCCTCACACACCATATATTCTCATTTATTCCAGTTTGGCTTTGTTTAACAATATAGTTATTTGAATGTTTTTATGGTCAAATAGTATGCATTTGAGCATAGAAAACCATTGCATCCAAGTTAAAGACAGACCCTGTATCTTTTCATGTCGTAGTTCTTACACATAATATGGTGATCATTGTGGGGTGATGTTACTTGTAATAAATTTCTGTCAAATAAGGAACAAAGTGTAAGAATAATGTTAGCTTTACTTGCATTTTCTAAAAACAGGACCAAGTTTAAAATATTGTAGAAGTGAACATTTTTTTCAAAGCAGCAAGTTCCTGGAAACATTATTCAGATTTGTGTTGTGAATCACAGGATAAAAGCATACTAGAAATAGTTTGTATGTTCTTTTGTTTTTCCTTTATTTGCTTTGGGAAACCTTTAGTGTTGGTTGTTAGAAACTACATTCAGCAAATATTTTGTTGTATTTCTAAAATGTGCAAGGTCCTGCTGCTTTCTGTGAGCAAAACAAAGATAAATGAGACATGGGGTCTTTATTAAAATACCTCTTTAAAAAGTGAAGCCGACTTGGAAGCTGTAATTATTATCTCCTAACAAATGAATCTGGTGATCCGTGAAGCAAAACTGTTTTGAAATTGTTGTCATTAGACTAAAGTTATGAGCAGAGTTGTAGCAAGACACATATTTTCATTATAGCATGAAGAGTGGTACATCTTTTACATTTATTGTATCAGGGATTCATTTTAGTTTGGACAGTAAGTCAAAGTTTGGCAGTATTTGATGAATTTTATATAATGAAAAATTTGCTGAAGAGAGATTGTGGCATTTTTAGCTTCAATGTATTAATGTGCGCACATACACACACACTCACACTCTCTTACAGCTTTAATGCTGCATAGAAGGTCCCTGAGGACATTGTTGGTTGAAGAGTTATAATCCACATTGAGTCACTCAGAAGAAAGAATTGTCCTCATTGATTGTGAGTTTGATGTAACTATCGTAGAACATACAAACATCCACCACAAACTAGATGTCTTCATCGGGTCTGTTACCAAGTCTCTCTTAAGAGTGAAACTTACTGATTTGAAGATATTCCCCAAATTACTGTCTTGCCCTTTGGAGGAGGCAAACCTTCTGTTGTCATAATGGCCTGAGCTAATGATGACTCATTTTCCTGAAAATGAATGGTTTCACACACAATGAAATTGGAAAATTAATTGTTAACATCTTAGTCATTGGCAAGTTTAATTTAGCACAAGGAAAAATGTCAAGAGTCCTGTTTTGGAAGGAATGAGAAAAATGAGTTATTTTTTTAAAGATTGTAACAGAACAAAACAAAACAAACCCATATAACATTGTTTTTTTGACACCATTAGTGCCACCACTATAAAATGAACTTTATATTAGAATTTAAAAAATTATACCTCATGAATGAAAAAAGTGTGACTTTAATTGCTCAGTATGTACATACTGGTAGCCATTTCCGAATCAGCGGACCACATATAGCTTAAAAAGAGAATGAGGGATGAATAGCCTTTCAGTACAGTTCATGACATCTTTTGATTCCTGACAATGCTCTGCTCTCCCAAGGCCTACCCTGACTTGGACACTGCTTGTACTTACTGCATGGGAACTGCTCCCAGGATAGGATCAGATAGTGGATAACTTCCCAGCTGTTTGGTTACCATGTGGTCTTAGCTTGACTTTAACCTTCTTGCCTCCTGTTTGTGCTGGTAACAATAGCCTGCCCTGCTTCCAGGTATCCCTATTTAGGTACACAAAGGCCAACCATCTCTATAGTGCTGGACAGTTGCTTGTTCATGGAGGTCCTGACTTTTGACTCTGGCATCCTTGAGTCTTGGAGAGCAGAAGGCAACTGTTGAGAAGAGGTCATGTGATCCATTTATTTGGCCTAGGATTCACATGCCCTCAGAAGACGTAGAGATTGGGTTTATATTTTGGCTTGGAACTTGCTTTCCAAAGAATAGGAAAGACTTCTTGGGTCTGTTGCTTCCCCTGCCCTATTGGTGTGTTGGACAATGTATTGTTATTTTTGTGGCAGTTTAGTGATAGATTTTAGTGAATACTTACAAAGTAGTTATCAGTAATGATCTGATGGTACACTTTGGCGTTAGTACATTTGCCAGGGCTTTTAGAAAATTTAAACTTTCTTCCATTCACAGACATTTAAGAAACTGAGGTGATCACCTCTTCAGACCCACCAGACCAGTTTCTTTGTCCCAGTGTGACCTGGAATTTCTCCTTCACTGATAT